GGGTGATCGCTGGCGTGAACAATTCGAGCACCTACTCAACTTTGATGAACAAAAAATCACATCCCCCTCTCCTCCACAGTGGCGTTTCAACCCTCTCCTGCCTACGCAGTGTCATGTGACCTCCCTTCCGAAGACAAAGTTACCGATGCAATGCAGAAGCAACGCAAGAACAAGACGTGCGCAGCAGACAGTATTCACGCAGAAATCTACAAGTCCTGGGTGGACACCCTGGCTCCGGGGCTTCATGAGATGACTTTACAAACGTGGCGAGAACAGGCCGTACCAGATAACTGGGGCTCAGGCTTTCTTGTACCTGTCCGAAGGAATGGAGATAAGACAAGATATGAGAACTAGGACGGCATAGGTATTATCGACGTTGCTGCATAGATCTTCGCTATTGTTTTATCTCAGGCACTTCCTGTCTGTACGTGACACCAGGACTCGACCCAAACAAGCCCGATACCACGGTGGGCGTGGATGTGCGCATCAGATATTTACAGTGAGGCGCATTCTGGAATTCCGCCGGAGCTACCAGCAGCCGACAACCGTTTGCTTTGTCGATTTCGCTGCCGTATTTAATTCCATCCATCGTGAGTGTCTGTGGCGAATAAAGGATCAAGACGTTATGGCGACCAAATTCATTGCCATGATTAAGGCTTCTATCGGTCTTATACCGAACGAATCCGGGTCCACAACAATCTCTCTCAATCGTTCGATATCCGGTCTGGTGTCCGACAGCTGCGAAAACTTTCGCCCATTCTGTTCAACTACGTCATTGTCTAGATTCTCGGCAAGGCCCTACACGAAGAGGACGCTGTTGAGCTTGAACCCGGGCGCCGGCTATCTGATCTTGACAACGCCGACGATATTGCACTGCTAGCTTAAAGTTTTGGTGGTCTATAGTCGGTGGTGTCGTAGTTAAACGAGGTCGCTATATCGGTTGGCATGTCCATAAATTCCGGAAAGAGGAACTTATTCTCGAGCTGTATCTCTGACCAGGAGGAAGCATTCCAGGGGATTAATGGCCATCGACATGAAAAAGTAGACAGCTTTCAATATCTCGGAGCGAGGCTGCTGCCTAATAGACAGGGTAAGGACGACATTGTCTCCTGTATCAATGCTGCTTGCTGGGTGTTCTCAATCCTTCGAAAGCGCCTATGGATTCGACGTGACATCTCAATCGCCAAGAAAATTCGTGTGTACCATGCACCCATTCGGTTAGTCCTCCTCTATGGATATGAATGCTGGGCTGTGCACACCGAAGATGAGCGAAGATTGGAGGTCTTTGACCACCGGTGCCTGAGGGCGATCCTGCAACTGAGGTGGTTTGGACACGTTCTCGGTCTTCCGCCCCACGAACTTAACTATACTGCCCTCGACCCGGCGCCGCAACCCACCAAAAAACGTCGAAGAAGAGAGTAACTGAAGACGTTGCTCGACACCGTCTGTCAAGACATAAGACAGTTCTTGAACCTTCTATGTTCGGTGTCCGTTACTGGAGAAGAGACTGGGTGAAGCTTTTCAGATTCGCTGCCGCCAATTATCACGCATGGAGAGGTACCGTTCGTGACATCATTGAGGCAGGCTAAATCAGGCATGATCTCAGCAGTAACAAGACCAAGTAAGT